TGCAAAGTCGAAAGGTTGTGAATAACATCTTCAATTATCAATAGATTCAAGTGTATATGAAGAAAAAGTAGTTCAAATACACAAACTAAGAAGAATTATAGTTTTTAACTGATTGTACTTGAATAGATGCATAATTAAATGAATAGTCTTAAGTACTATACATAAATCTTAATTTAAGAAATTTTACTAGAAAACATAAGCGTTTTCATGGTTTCATTGCTGAAAGTAATAAAAAGCACGTATTTTCTATTTAAAGTTTCAAAACTTTGACAAAAACGTTGAAAAAATTGAACAGTGATACCAATAAATTTGCAAAACCAAAACTGTCATTGAATGGAGGAGTTGAAAAATAAACTAGAAAGTAAGTTTGGGTCGAACGAAATTGACTCGAGCAACATGAAAAGTTTGCGCTACTTGCGCGCATCATTAATTAGTTCATATAGTCTGCAAAGTCGAAAGGTTGTGAATAACATCTTCAATTATCAATAGATTGAAGTGTATATGAAGAAAAAGTAGTTCAAATACAAAAACTAAGAAGAATTATAGTTTTTAACTGATTGTAGTGTAAGTTAAGAGGATCGGTGTGAAACGCAATTGAATTGCTATCGGAAACGGAAACACGTTTATTTATTTTCCGGGTTAAAAAAAAAGGTTTGTTTTTTTTTTCGTGGGTTCGATTTATAAGTATTGCCGTGAGAAGGAATTCAAATCTTCGCCGTAAAGTTGTTTGCTAGTTGGGGGGGGTTGAAGATAAATCCTGTTTGGCTTCTCCCTCTTCTGCAAAATGCAGGAGGAAAAGAGGAAGAATAAAAGGAGCAGGATTCAGGACGACGCAGGAATTCGATATCGATAACGGTCGGGGAGAAGCTGCTGCTGCAAAGAGGGGTGTAGTGTTTGGGAAAAGAGGATGCGGGCTGTATACTTGGTATGGAACTGACCCCCAAACATTGTTGATGTACGATCGCGGTTCGGGATGCATCGCAATGAGATGAAATGGGGAAAAAAACAGCGAGAAAGATCGTACGAGAAAAGAGAATTCCAGGTAGAAAAACGAAACCCCTCAATGATTTGTTCGCTTTAAAGCAAAGAAAATACTTTCACGAGGAAACGAAACACGTTTTCAGTGTAAAGTGCAGGATAATTGAAGTATAAATAAACGATGAGAATCTAAAAGGATTGTTAGAAACTAAACTATAGTAGATTTAGTAAATGTGCATCATTTAAGTCAATTTTATCAATTAAATATAACAATTTCTATTACGCCATCTGTTGGTAAGTGATTGAATCATTTTGATCATTGATAGACTTACCGTATCCAAATTGAAGAGGGACGAGACCTTCTTAATGAAGCCCCCTCCGCTCTCTTGCTGCTTCTTTTTACGTCGCGAAGTCATTGCGAAACCGAGTCAAAGGTCAAAATTCGATTTATACACTTAATAACAACAACAACAACAAAAAAAAAACGATTACTAAACGACAGGCACTTCCGAAATCGGCGTTTTTGCGTGCGAGAAAAAACGAGGGTCCCAACAATTTCGGTTTTCGCACGGATTGTGTAACGCCTAGAAAGAAAAAAAAACAAAAAAGAAAAGAAACAAAAACAAAACAATAACAACAGAAGAGGAAGCTGCGGCGTTTCGTCGCTCTTCCACCGTAGAGACGTGCACGAACTCTGATCTCAGGATTTAATTAATTAATCAATCCGCATGTTAACATTAACGTAATAACATCGAAATTATCGATTCAATCGGAACGATTCCTTGTAGTAAGCAATATGATGATCAGCGACATCTATCTTATATAATTATATATATATATAGGTGTTTCGCATTCGGGGGGATTTAACAAATTCGATATGGAATTATCCATTAATTGGAAATTAATCTGCACGTTAAATTAACATTAATTAATATGATACAATTTGGATCAAATTATTCGAAGATTATTAATATTATCGATTATGACGACATTTTCTATTCTATTTTGACAACTATTACAAATTAACAATAACACTACTTTATAGCGACATCTATTGCATAATCAAATGATTAATTTGATTATGCAATTAGTAGATTACTAATTATCGATTACTGCGACATCTATCAGCAAAAAAATCCATTATTCTGACAAGCAAAACATACATTTATTAATTTAATTGGCGATTAATTATCAGTCAAAGTTCAAATTATACAAAAAAAAAATTGCGTAACTTATAGGCACATATATACGTATATATTTATGGAAATTCAATTGGCTGCAAATTCAATGAATGCGTTTTAATCGGATCGTGTGTGCGTGCGCGAAATTGAAAATATTCATTAGTCCTCCCAGGATCGCGTAAACGTAAACTTCATTAAATCCGCAAATTGTTATTTAATTGGAGCGTCGAATTTTGCGCGTAACAACGTTACGTATTTCCAACAATATTACTTTTTATTCTGTTTGTATTTGTTATTCAAATTCTCTACGCGTTTTTTTGCCTAAAATTAATATCATGGACGGGTGCGCTCTTTTGTATTACCGAATCTAATGCACGTAGGATTTGAATTCGTTTGTTTTTAACGTGCATGTTAAATTTTTAAGAACTGGAACTTGAAAATATGAAATAATGAATCTTTATTTTTGAAAATATGATGTAATGAATCTTTATTTTTAAGTATTTAAGATTCATCATTATGTAACGAATTAGACTATAAGGAAACGCATTGAGTTTCGTGCCCACTTGGTTTAGATCGATCAATCGATTTTTTAAGATTTTATCCGTTAACAAAAGGTGAAGCCACCAACGATTTGTGAAATCACGTCAATAACGTAAATCAAAATCCCGACGTTTGAAATCCCGACTATATCAAAATTTCGATATCAAAATCCCCACTGTATCAAACTCTCGACTATATTGACATCCTGACTGTATCGAAATCCCGGCTATATCTAAATCCCGACAACCACATTCCCGACTATATCGAAATCCCGACTATATCAAAATTTCGATAACCATAAACCCGACAAACATAATCCCGACTACATCAAAATCCCAACTATATAGACATCCCGACTGTATGGAAATCCTGACTGTATAGATTTCCCGACAACCACATTCCCGACTATATCGAAATCCCGACTATATCAAAATTTCGATAACCATAAACTCGACAAACATAATCCCGACTACATAAAAATCCCGACTATATAGACATCCCGACTGTATCGAAATCACGACTGTATGGAAATCCCGACGTTTGAAATCCCGGCTATATCTAAATCCCGACTATATCGAAATTCCCACTATATCAAAATCCTGGCAAACATACGCAAAACTTTGCGTATGGTTGCATCCAAATTTTTATAACTTTCTTATCGTATTTCTTTCTTTTCCTCGTAACCCATTAAGAATTGTCTAAACGTTGCTGTGATTCGTCGTGTCGCAGAAACAGCACGTTTTAAAAGCAATTATTTCGATTATCACTTCATTCTAATTCCTATTTTTTTTTTTATCAATTATACTAATTATTTTTTTTTGTAAATTTTATACAGTTTGATTGGCGAACCTAATGAGTCCTGAAAGAGTCTTTAAATGTCTTTAAATAAAATTGTAGTATTTCTCATATTTTCAGGTGTAAAAAGGGCAAATTTTGAGGCACGAAATATGAAAGGAAGAGAAAAACGCTCTTTAAAATGAAATTACGAAATAGTCTACTACTACTATTAAGCTGCAAATTTTAATTTTGCGCCGCGAACTTTCATCATTTATTTACACACACTTTTTCCACTATCCTCTCGTCTCTACTTCTCTCCCTTAAAAACCTAAAATCCGCGTTTTTAATATAGTTCCAGCTTTAATATAACACACATTTATCACATTTTTTTCACTTTAATTTCAAACAATGCCGTTCTTTATTTACAGACTCTCCTGGATTCTTTACTGTTTTATTTTTTTTTTTAGTTAACTTCATACACAGAGTGAACATAGCGAAATGTGGGACAAATGGCAGGATAATGAGTTAATCCGCTTTTTCAACTACTCTCTCTCTACTAGTATCATAATCCAATCTAAAGCGAAAATTAAACAAACCGTGCGGAAGTAAATAGATTCGAAAAAACATGTACAATGGGATCAACAACAGCGGCAACAAAAAAACAAAAACAAAACGAAATTTAATACAATTCCTTTTTTTTTGTACGTGAAACGCATTTGGTGTTTGTTTCTGCGTTCGGATGTGAATTGGTGAGGGTGGGTGGATTTTGTTATACCCTTAAGCGTATAAAAATGAGCGCTCGAATTCACCTGTGCGTAACGTGTGTAAATTACCTGTTCCACCATCAACTACATGGACAACGGACTGGTCTTTCTCTCTATATCTCTCTCTCCCTCTCTCGCACACTAACTATGTAGTGCAGTTTGACCCATGGCAATAACCTGATGGTACAGTCCGCAAAAACTCTCATCGTTCGAGATTGTTGCGTTCTATGCGAAACACCCATCATCATCATTACAGGACTCGCATTTATAAGTACACACAAATGTAGTTAGTATGCATTTTACGAATTGCTTCTATTCAATTTACAAAATTTGATTCTTATAAGTTTTTGTCGTATATTACGCTTTTATTCTAATTGTAAATCGAGTTCTCACTTTACGAAATTTGTGAAAAAATGACTTTTTTTTATACATCAGTTTTATAAATTGTTCTCAATTTGCGAAATTTGCGAAAAATAGTTTTCTGTAATGTAATCATATATATCATTAAAATCAGAGAGTCGAACCGAAATTAATTTCGTTCCGGTTTACGGTTACGTTCCAAGTAAATGTTTGTCGTTCCAGATTCGGTTTCGATTCGTCTAAAAATTTCGGTTCAGTTCCGGTTGAAGTTAAAATTTAAAATCTAGTCCAATATCAAATTTTGATTTAATTTTATTTACCAAATTCCCTTACTATTGTTTTCAATTATACAAAAGAAATAAAAATTAATTAGTGAAAAAAAAATGAACCGAAATTAATCGTAATTTAAATTTCGTTCCGGTTTCGGTTTCTCAATTAAGCCATTTTTTGTTCCGGTTCAATTAAAAATTCCGGTTTACGGTTTGGTTCAACTCTCTGATTGAAATATACACTCACATTACGTAATTGATTCATAAATTACTTACAAAGTTTTCACTTTACAAATTATTGTTTTACGAATTGCTTCTATTCTAATTGAAAATCAAAGTTCTCAATTTACGAAATTTGTGAAAATATGACTTTTTTATGCATCAGATTTTCACTTTCGAACAAAGTTTTATAAATTGTTCTCAATTTACGAAAAACAGTTTTCTGTAATGTAATCATATGTATCATTAAAAACAGAGAGTCGAACCGAAATTAATTTCGTTCCGGTTTACGGTTACGTTCCAAGTAAATGTTTGACGTCCCAGATTCGGTTGAAGTTAAAATTTAAAATCGAATCCAATATCAAATTTTTTATTTACCAAATTCCATTGTTAGTATTGTTTTCAATTATAAAATTGAAAAAAAAAATCAAAAGAAATAAAAATTAATTCGTGAAAAAAGAAATGAACCGAAATTAATCGTAAATAAAATTTCGTTCCGGTTCCATTTCTCAATTGAGCAATTTTTCGTTCCAGTTCAGTTCAGTTACGTTACAATTACAAATCCGGTTAATTTCGGTTTATGGTTCGGTTCCGGTTCGACTCTCTGATTGAAATATAAACTTAAGTTTTCTAATTACGAAATTGATACATAAATTACATACAAAATAATTAGTTTTAACTTTACAAATTATTGTTTTACGAATAGCTTCTATTCTAATTGAAAATCAAAGTTCTCAATTTACGAAATTTTCCAAAAAGTTGAAATTTGATTTGTACAAGTTTGTGTTGTGTAATATTTAGACTACTTCAATTGCTTTTATACATTAAATGAGCGTGAAGATGGACAAGTTCCACGACGACATGTCGAGTATTTCCGCTTATTAAGATGTTTGCCCAACCAATTATTTACGCTTAGTGTCAATGCCATCAAAAATAATTCTCGGAAAATATCGTTACGCAACTCAACAAGGACACTTTGCGAAACGTCTGTACTAAATTGCACAGAGATAATTGCATTAAGTAATATAGATAACACTTCTTATATTAAACTTGATGTTACAACAAACGTATGAGATGTTCACTAACAATCATGTTTTAGTCATAGTTGTAAACTTAATACAGTCATAGCTTAATCAGTAAAAAAATGTTGCTAATTAGGATACAAATGAAACACGTTTTACGTTTATTAATTAGTCATAATCAGTGAATCTCTACAATACAATCAATGCATGTAGTTGAAAGGCAATTGTAGTCTTCAAAATTATCTACCAATTAATGATTTCAAAAGCCTTTCAGGACTCGCTTCGCTCGCCCATCAACTTCAATCTATACATTTGCTGAATGTTCTTGATGGGCGAGCGTAGCGAGTCCTGAAAGGGAATTATAGTTTTAAAAATTTGCTTTTCTTTATACATAATAATTGTTGCTAATTTTGATAGAAATTCAACATGTGTAAATCACGTTTTACATTGAT